CCTATCTTTATCAGAAAGTCCATCATTAGTATTCTTTATGTTGTTAGCCTTTAGGCATGTATCCACATTAGTGGTTTGTTCTCAGATTTCAAATGTTACTGTGTATGTTTCTAAAAAGTGAAGCATATTTTTTCTGTAATAATCCTTAAAATCTTGTAAGTTGTAACTATCCAACTGTTGATAGTTGATTGTACTAATCAAGTTTATTACACGTGCAGATTAAAAGTAAGCTTACAAGGAAATAATCATTCAAGGATTTCATGGACATACTGGTTCAAGAGAGTTCTGTATTATCAGGTTGCTCTTGTTTATGTGCTTACCAGACTAGTGGTCAATGTTTCACAGGTCAGGACTTTTTTTTTCTCCCTCTTTGTGATGCTTGTTTTTCTTCATGAAAAGAAATAACTCAATTTTTACTGTATCTAATAAGAAAGGGACAGCTGATAGTCCCTACAGAGCATCCAACTTGAGAACTCCCTTATGATAGTGACTTCCCTAGGAAACCACTTTTGCAATATTATCCCCGCATAATAGAAGTTATTGCTAGGTCTTGGTCTCAACCTTTGCAGTTCTTATATCTAGATGGCTTTCTCTTGTTCAGGCATATCTTGCATTCTATGTTATAGATGATCTGCACATGGCACAATCAGCTAAAGCTCTGGTACTACCACAAAAATATTGTCATTATATTTCTTCTGATGTTAGAGATTATTTAATTTTTGAAGAATGCAAGACTGATTTATCTTTTGTAATTGATGGGAATAGGTTCCTGCAATTATCTACATTAGCAGCTTCCTCGTATCTATAATACTACAGGTCCCCATGAAACTCAGTTTGTTTGTTGAAATTCTTATTCATATGTACTTTGTTGTGTTGATATCTAACCCTTAAGTATTCATATTATAGGAGATCTCGTGGACTGGCCAATGCCTGAAGGCCTGCTATTCTGCTGGAGCCATTGTTTGGATATTTTGTGGGGCAGGGATCCTGTTTTTACCTGGAAGCATGAGTGCTTTCATGTACCTTATATCCGTATCTATTGGCATAGCAAATGCTCTAATGATGGTATGATGTCAAATTTGGTGCTTTCATCTTCGCTTCATGAAATTTTGAAGTGCATTTCGTATTGGTTGCATTTTGGAAGGAAGATGATGAAGCATTGTCAAGAGTTTGAACTTAATTAAATTTAAGTCGTTTGGTTCTTTGGGATTAGGGTTTCAATTGGTTCAAGACAAGAAATATGAAGTATGTTAACATTAATACTTGAAACAAATATTAAGGGACAGGAGCACACTGCCCTTAGAAAGCTGGACCATATCATATGCCTGCCAGCTGATGTTTTGTCAACAACGTAAAAGATGATAGATGTTTACTCTGTTGATTTAAGTGGTACTACGGATTTGAAAACATGAGACAGCTCAGAACTCTGTAAGAACACTGTAGATTGCTTTGAAATGACCTTTAGGGATTGAAATTTCTCACTCTACGTTTAGCTATTTCCGAGTCTGAAGCTTGATATTAGAGAAAACTAGAGCTTTTATTGATGGAAATCCTAATGGTTTGAAAACATACTGCCATTTTTAATCCATTAACGTAGTAGTTGCTTATAAATTCAGATTTAATCATATTTTGATGTAACAGGTGACTGGAGTAAGTATGCAAAGTGTTCTAATCGACAGAGATCTCAATGGCTGCGCATTTGTATGTGGATCATTAAGCTTCATGGACAAAATCTCGTGTGGGCTTGCCTTATTTGTGCTTCAGTCATATCAAAGTAAGTTACAGTTTTGTGGATCATTTGCTATATTAAACATATATTTATGCTCATCTGTTTCTATTGAATAATATATGTGTGCATTTAGGAAGATACATGATTGGTTATTTGCTTTTTTTCTTACTTTTGTTGAACTGGATCTATAAAATTGTTATGTGGTTCTTAGTTCATCAGGTTTAAAGAGTTTGGGTAGTGGGATCTCCCTTTCAGATAAAAAATTGCATTTCGAAGTCTATATTTCGGATGGTTAAGCTTTAAATCAACGTAGGTGTACATGGAAATAGATCCAATCATTACTTAATGGGGTGCACATTGTTGAAGAATGTGAAGTCCCACATCGAAACTTGACAAGATTAAATATAACATATATAATGAGTGATTTCATTACTAGTCGAATAGCATTGAGGCGCACATATGCAGGTTCTTTAGGCCTAATTAAGTTAGACATTGTAGAGTTGTTTTATGTACTTCTTAAATCATGGTTCCCAAAACTCGGGAATGAAAAGTGATGACTTCTAGTATGCCAATAGTTAACTTTTTTACATGCAGGTACGCGAGTCATACAGGAAAACCATTCAAATGATGTCTACTTCTCAGTCACAAGATTTGGTTTGGGTTTTGTTCCGGCAGTTTGTTCACTCATCTCTGTGATAGTTACTTACACCATGAAACTCCAACCTGCTCCCTGTAAACCTTTAATGGAGCCTCTATTGGTATAGCTTCTATGAGAAAGCAAATTTGACACGAAGTTCTATGATGTGTTCAAAAAGAGACCGAAATTAGCTTTGCAGTGCTTTAGGAGATGCTGAATTTTTCAGCAATTGATCATGTAGCCGTGCAATTCTTCACTTGGTTGTATTCTTTTGTTGAATACATTGATGGCACGACTGCAGGAAGTTCTGTATATAATTATTTCACAAAATATTCATTTGTTTGTGTTATTGAGTTCTATAATTCCAAGGAACGTTCAGAGATGGCCTTATATCACCTACGGCTTATGGTTTTGCCAATTATTTAGGCATGCGAATCAATTAATACTAGTATTTTTTACTACACAAAACTGAAAAGAATAACCTCTTAATTGCTCAACATATCTTCACAGTATGCATATATAGAACACATGTAGAGGAGAAGACAAAGCGTTTTAGTAAAGATTTGAAAGAGGACTCAAATATGTAGGTCTTGACCACGGTCAAAACTAAAGTTGCATTTGTAATCAGAAGATGACTGGCCTCCGGAAAATATTTCAGCTGGCAGCAAGTAAAGATTATTGCTTTACATAGTTAAACGAAGAACAGCCTGCCTAGGTTCTCTTAGGGTTGGATCGCTCTCGGCTTTGACCAAATGTCTAAAAACTTTGGCACAACGACTCACCAATTTTTTCAGCTTCACTCCTTGCAAACCCGCTGTTTTTTGCTGCTTCTTGACCAGTTGAAGGTGATTCTCTTCATCAGTGAAGTGTTGGCCTAGTGAACTTCTTGCTCTGCTCCCTTGGTCACCCGACTTGATGATCAGCTTTGCTTTTTCATCCCCATCGATCAGCTGCTTAAAGCTTTTACGATTATCATTGTCTTGATCACCATCTTCAACTCTCGACTTTGAGGGACAACTCTGATCTCCTCCATTGCCATCCAGAAAGCTCTC